GAGATTCAGCTCCAAAAAACTCCTCAACTCATCAGTCATAAGCCCTGCCAAATGAAAACAAACATAACCCAATAGTTAACCTTACCTGAAAAACAAGCAAACTCATTTCAAATGTTTCATACAGCGACACTAATTCGATTAGTTCAGAATGATTATTAAGCATTAAAACTTTAAGAGGAAAGTATCTTCATCAGATATCACAAAAATCAGCAAATGAAAATGGGAAAAAAACCCTTTATTTCTAGTATCCCAATAACCCACCGAGTAAACACGATAACTAATATAAAAGAGCAACTAAAGCTTTGCAATGTTGAACTAACAGATGCCTTTGCAGAAGTAATACATATCCATAAAAAATAATCTTGAAGAAAAGGTAAAATATTATGATACCTTCGGAAACAGAATTGCATTGATTGAGACCATCGAGAGCGGACTCAAAAGGCTGAAACGCAGTGAGTTGGACCACTTTACCAAACCGGTTCAGATCCGAAACGGAGTTCCTGACGGCCTCTGTATTCTGACCGATTTCATCGAGCCCGTGAGCTTGGAACAGCGCGTACCCGGAAGACGACTCGAACAACAAGTAGAGAGCCATTGAAGAAAGGCTCCAAAAACCCAAACCACAGTGAAGAGAGAGCTTTGTTAGCTTCAAAAACAATCAAAGCTAACTGAAATAGGCGTGTCTTGTTGTCTAGGGTTTGGGAAATGAGAGAGACTAAAGAGACATGGAAGTCGGAACTAGGGTTTAAGGCTCTCAGGCTTTTATACCGCCTGCAATTCTTTTCCAAAACTTCGGATTAGACCTTGTTTGTTTTTTATTTGTACAGTCTAGTCCTTATTGCTTGCAATTCACTTTATAATAACTTTTAAGATAAACTATAACCATAGCCACTTAATTATTGTTTATTTTTATTTTGTACACTGATATTTTAATTTTATCAAATAAATCACTTAACTGTTTAAGTGTTGCCAACTAAACATATGTCATTAATATTTAACATAGTAACTAACGGGGTAGTTAAAAATTGATATAATTGCAAGTTATCATTACTCACACATTTATCAATTTGATCATAACTTTAATTTAAGGGTAAAGTATAATAATGGTCACTGAACTTTTTTAAAGCTTTCATTTAGGTCTTCCAACTTTTAAAACTTGCAATACAGTCTTCCAACATTTATTCCGTTTGCAATATGGTCCCGACGTTACATTGCCGTTAGTACATTTGCAATATGGTCACTGAAACTTTTCGGGCTCTTGCATTTAGGTCCCCAACTTTTAAAACTTGCAACACAGTCCTCAATTTCATTCTAAACCCCAAATTCCTTTTCGATCTTGAATTTCCTTTAGAAAATTTATTCATCGAAGGAGATAGATCTATTCAAGGTGCATTTACTTATTTTTATCGTGTTTGTTTATGTAAAATACTTCTAGTTTACAATTCAATGAAAAATGCTTAAAATATATAAATGACCTTTAATTACATGATATTATTTTATAAAGTCTCACCAACTATTAAAAGTTACAAAATGATGTCTTAAGAGTTTTGTTTTATCAAGTCTCCGACTATTAAAAGCTACATAATGATCACATTATTATTCGTATGTTCAAAGTTGTCTCTTTATATTAAAAAAGTAATGGTCGTTTGAACCAGACACTAGCCCTTTGAATGAAATATGATGAAATATGTTCAACATCCGTAAAATTTTCAAGTTAAAAAATTGTTTATACAAAAAAACGAAGCTCCTTTATTTTTGAAAGAAAACAAATATACAAATAAATTTACAAACTTAACTAAAATATTTCATTATTTATATGCCCACTTAAGTAATCGTTTATCGTACTCGAATGATTCATTGAGACTCTTCCATTAATGTTGATATCCTACCACGAATAAAGAAACTTGTAACGTGCACACAAAAGCAATCTAGACGTTTAGCTTATAAAATTCAATAGTATACATTTAGTCTATACTATTTTATGAGGTTCACATACATAAACGTGCTTGTTAAATATGAGCATGTACGCATTAAGTATAAAGATCTATAATCCTTAATTAATTATTAGGGATTATCATACTTACGCAAGTACAAAGAGTAGCATATTTCAAATCAAATAGGTACATACTAAAGTTTTATAATCCTTAATTAATTATGAACATGCGCATTAAGTATAAAGATCTATAGTCATTAATTAATTATTAGGGATTATCATACTGAAATTGTTATTTTATTCATGAACTTAATGACTTTATTTGGAAGGAATTTCATGGGGTTTTTATTATTTAGTATCTGAATTTCTAAAGTTTATTCTCTCTTTTATTTCTCTTATAATAAGTTTTGTAGGATATATCTATAAGCTTTGATTTTATAAGACTATGATATAACAATATTTAAGATAATTTTTTCATATCTATTTTCTAAGGAAATTCGAGATCGAAAATGAATTTGGGGTTTAGAATGAAATTGAGGACTGTGTTGCAAGTTTTAAAAGTTGGGGGACCTAAATGCAAGCACCTAAAAAGTTCAGCGACCATATTGCAAACGTACCAATGGCAGTGTAACATCGGGGACCATATTGCAAACGGAATAAATGTTGGAGGACTGTATTGCAAGTTTTAAAAGTTGGGGGACCTAAATGAAAGCTTTAGAAAAGTTCAGTGACCATTCCTATACTTTGCCCTTAATTGAATTAAAAAAAATGTATATTATTCAATGATACCATATTTCATCATCTTATTGGATAATGAAAAATAAGTTCTAGAGTTTATGAGAGTTCAAACATAGGTTTGTGGAAGAAACGTGAAGCACCCTTATTACTAGGTTAAGTATCATTTATTAGTTATGATTTACATAAGGTGTCTATATCTTGTATAATAAAATGTAAAAAAATGAAATAAAAAATATCAAAATCATTAAAGGGGTGGCGATAGAAGTAAACAAATGTGCTGATTGTTTGGCTAAAGGAGGGGAGGAGCATGAGAATGTTAAAAGATCCACAACATGAAGTGAGGCATCTGATAGAAGCATATAAGCGTGGAAATGAAACCCTGAAATTGTAAGCCAAAAAACGGCGTCGCTTTTCAATCCTTTGTACCAAAAAAATAAAATAAAATTTGAATTGACTGATAGATTATATAATGAAAATACTCTACGTGAGATAATAGTATATTGAATTTTATGTATTTGAAGATAATTATTATCAAATTTTTTATATTTTTTAAATTAAAACTTCTTTTTGTTAAATAAAAATATTGAGATAAATATTAAGCATAGATAAGAGAAGGGATGACAACAGGTCATGTTAGGATCAGATTTTTAATCAACTAGTCATAATCTGAAAGTATGTATCGTCTATCCAAACCCAATCAATCCGAAAATTATATATCTTCCATCCGATTTGACCTAACCCAAAACATATATATTTTTCATCCGATTTCGACCCAATTAAATTTTTTAAAGTATAAATCCAACTGAACTTATATAAAATAAGGATTTAATTTAAAAATATATAATTTTAATAAAATCATATTATTTATTTTCACCTTTTATTGAACTCGACATGATGTCACCCCTTAAAATATTCGATCAACTCAATCTAAATTTATTTTTTTTAAAAATCAAATCTTATTAAATTGAACCGAATTAAAACCCATCAATTTCAAGTTAAATTGCGGGCGGTCCACGGGCATGGCTGGTTTCCATTCGATTTATATCATTTTTCTCCGGCGGATAATGCTGGTATGGCGTCCCATCATAAAACCACATAGCGTGGTAAACGTGTCATATAATATATACTTTTTTCTCAAGGCAAATTACTTCATATCTTACATCATTTATCAAAATTCACTATTATAATCAATTTCAAATGTTTACTTCATTTCCATCTTATATTAAACAAAATTAATTCAATATTTGACTCCACATTATATATATGGACGACACGTGTAGATGCACATATTCGTCTTCTATTAATTCCTTGCTAAAATTGGGAATCTTCCTTCCTTCCAATTGGCCATTATATCCGGATTCAATATTAAAACTATTATTTTTATATAATCATTATTATTTAATATATTAATTGACTATTTAAATTTAATAATTCGAAAATTCATTTGTTAAAAAAAACTTAATAAATATTTTATCTTATTAGATTAATCATCATTTAAATTAGGGCAAATACATAAACGATTCTCCGACTATATGATATTACTTTATTGAGCCTTTTGACTATTAAAAGTTACCAAATGGTTTCGACTATAGGATTTTACTTTTTTAAGTCTCTTAACTATTAAAAGTTACAAAATGATCACTCGACTATTCGTCGTATTTCAAACTCGTCTTTTTTCGCTAAAAAATTATGGCAGTTTGAATTGGACATTAACCTGCCGACTAAGATATGATCTAATATGAACCCATAATCTCAAACGACTATCATATCTCAGTCAGCAGATTAACATCCAACTCAAACTACTATCAATTTTTTCAATTAAAAAAAGAGTTTGGAACACAATGAATAGTTAGGTAACCATTTTATAACTTTTAATAGTTGGAAGACTTGAAGAAGCAATGCCTATAATAAAAGGATTGTTTTGTAACTTTTAATAGTAGGATGATTCAATAAAAAAATATTTTATAATCGATTAACCATTTGTGTACTTTATTAATTAAATTAAGTTAATCCAGTTAAAAAAATCTTATATCTAGACTGATCGAACAAATAATTTGATTATTGAATAAATGTATTTAAAGATTAGCATTTGAACATGCTATTATTTTTTGGTTAAAAACAGAAGGAAAATAAAATTGGTTTTGACGGTTAAACGAAATTTTGAAGTATCTTTCGTCCTTGTTTCCTTTGAAGATTCTATTTAAACCAGAAAACAACACCCAGAAATTCAATAATTCAACCCAGTTCCAATGCTTCTTCATCCTCTTTCGTGTTTTGAAGACTTTCCCGGCACTTTCTCGGTAAAATCATAGACAGAGTCTCATTCTATCTATATATAAACTTGGTTTCCCATCACCCATTTCTGCAAATCAAACCCAGAATTCAACTGTTTCATCTTTCTGCAAATTTTCCAGGAATCCCAAAAACTTCCCGTCCATTTCCTTAGTGAAAAAATAAAACATGATGAGAAGCGAACAATACGAACGTGTTCTTCGTTACTTCGACAGAGATGGAGACGGGAAAATCTCGGCATCGGAGCTTAGCCATAGGCTAGCCTTAATGGGCGGCGAACTGAAGTTAACCGAAGCAGAGGTGGCGGTGGAATCGTTGGACTCGGACGGCGACGGGTTATTGGGGTTGGAGGATTTCATAGGGTTGATGGAAGCAGGAGGGGAAGAAGAGAAGATGAATGATTTGAAAGAAGCGTTCGAGATGTACGATGTCGATGGGAACGGGTTCATCTCGCCGAGGGAACTTAAGTCAATGTTGACGAAACTCGGTGAGTTTAAATCCATCGATGAGTGCAAGACGATGATCAAACGATTCGATCTTAATGGCGATGGTGTTATCAGCTTCGAGGAATTCAAGCTGATGATGCAATGACTCCATGGCCGAGTCCGTTGCTTCTTCGATCTATAATTCATCATTGATTTGATATTTGTATTTGATTTTGAATTAATTCTTTCGGATCTCATGTATCTGCAAATATTCATATGAGAACACAATTCTTTAAAAAATAGTTTACATATTAAAAGCTTTTAAAATATTAAATATATTTATATTTGATACTCATCAATATCGAATTAGAGATGTTCATGACTTGGGTTGAGTTGGATCGGTTTTTAGCTCACCCGAATTTAACTTAAGTATAACATCCTCATCTATCATTTGATCCGGGTTTAGAAAACTCTATCTAACCTTTGATTAACCTGATATTTAGGATGAAATTAATATCTAATCCGACATAAAAACATATATATATATATAAAAAGATCAATTATACTATCGTTTTCAAATCGAGTTTTTTACCAACAATTTAAATCTAATTCAAACTCAAATTTGAAAATAGTAATCTTATAGAGTTGGATCAAAATTCTCCGAATTGATTTCAAACATCAATCACTATATCTAATGCTCACGACCAACTCCGAAAAATTCTAACCTAAGTTACACGTTTAATGTTTGAGTGAGACGAATTGAGCGACGTCAGTGATAAATGAATTATTATTATTCGTTGAAGTCTCAGATTTAACCACAAAAATGTCATGAATATAAATATTTAATATCAAATAATTAAAAATTATCTTTAAACATATATTATCTTGTTGTTACTCTATATTAATAAGAAAAAAAGTCCGAGCGGGAAAAACACGGGGAGAAGAGAAGACCTTGATGGAAATAAAGTCGGTCTCCCGCGTTTGCTGCTGCTTCAAATTCAACACAAGTAGCCCATACATATTTTGTAGGTGAAATTTCCGGATAGGTCCTTCTATTATAGGAATATATTCAAATTAATCCTTACGTATTACATGGAATAATTTAATGATTCTATTATAGGGATCCATTCAAAATTGTCTCTCTATAATTAAATCGATCAATTTAGTTATCGTATGTGTGAAGAACATCAGATAATATTAGATTTAATCCTGTTTGACTATTTCTATTGGTATAGATAATAAACTAATCCATTTAATTGTAGGATGAATTTGAACTGATTCTGACAGTAGAAGAATTTGCCAAATACTTTCACTATAATATATATATATATATATATATCAAATTAAATAATAATTACATCATAATTTTAAAAAATTATTAATGATTTGTCGTCATTTAATGTATTAACAAAATTAGTTGACCCTATTCCCATATGTAATGGGTAAGGGGAAGGTAGGATAGTAGGTTGCCCCCAACACCATATTGAGAGCAGCTTCGGAGACCTCCGGCAGTTAGAATTATGAATTACCCACCGTGAAACTCGATCCCACAACCACAATGATAAGAGCCTTGAGCTCTTACCAACTGAGCTGGACGGGCAATTTCATTTAATGTATTAACGGAACATGTAAATGATTAAACACATACGGAGGTAAGAAATCCACCAAACCTATATAAGAAGATTATAATACATTTCATTTGTTTGTTGACCTAGGAATGGAGCTTTATAAACTAGAAGGTCAAAACATACAGCAGCTCTGCCGAAGCTTCCAATGTCGATATGTCATTGTATACGTTCTCAGTACAAAATTATGTATAATTTTTTGGGTTAATACAATTTTAGGTGTCTAAACTATATTTTAAATTGGCTGTTGGTGTTTAAAAAAACGTTGAAAATAGGTGTCTAATACTTTCTCCGTTACACTTTTAGGTGTTTTCTGTTACAAATTATCAAGTAACACATGTCACATCTATTTTTAAAAAATTATTTTAAATAATTTTTATTTAAAAATATAAATATGACACGTGTCACTTAACGAGTTTTTTGACAGTAGACACCTAAAAGTGTAACGAAAAACATTAGACATCTATTTTTAGCGAAAAAAATATTAGACACTAAAAATCAATTTGAGGTATAGTTTAAGCACCTAAAAGTATATTAATCCCTAATTTTTTAGGTTTTCTTATTATATGTATAATATCATATTAGATGACATGGTTTTGCAAATGACATCAAAGATTACGAAGTGATTGTGGTATAGGTTGTTTTGATGGTGGAATGGTATGAGAAGTTTGAAGCTTTAATTTCCACATTTTCATATTATTGAAATGTTGTGATAATTGGAAAGATAACATATAGTAAAATAAGAAGATAAAATATTAAAATATTTAAATTTAAAAAAGAAAATTAAATATAAGTGAGAAAAAACCATTACACGGATTTGTGCCTTAACAATAATTTTAATGTATTTCAACTATTTATAGAGTTATATTTGTTGACAAATTTTTTTTTAATATTACATTAAAATTTTGTCAGTATAATTTTTTTTGCCATTGGTTAAAAGTAAAATGAAAAAGTGATAGTAGATTTGACATATATAATTTGTTTCTTATATTGATTATGCATGTAGTTTTAAGATATATGTTTGATCGAAGAAAATGACAGTCATTTCCTAAGATGATTGACAAATTTAACAGATATATTTTGATAAGTGTAAAATAGTGGGACATAGAAAGGTAAAAATGAAAATATATGTTGTTGTATGATGACTTCTCTATTATGACATTTATGACATTGTAAGTGAGATAATTTTAAAAATCAAAAGAAAAAATTTAATGGGTATAAAAAAGTACGAATCAAGGATACAATAAGATCGCATTATGAGTTTACATTAAAATAAGATTTAAATCATAAACTCTAACACATAATTTATTTAATCAAACAAATGATAATAGGTTTTTAAGGTACGAAAACAAATAAAATGAATAAATGATAAAAAAGGTGGTCGGATATTTGCAATGTAAAGTGTGATCTATTTGATAGGCTGTAATTGGTTTTTTGAAAAATAATTTACGTAAAATAAATCACATGAAATTGTTTTACGTAAAATGAATTACATGAAAACTGTTTGAAGTAAAGTGAATTATCTAAAACTGTTTTACGTAAAATTCATTACATTTTTCTGGAAATAATTCTTAGAAATTATTTTACGATGTTTTGATGATATTGTGTAAATTATTTTCACTAATTGTTTGGTACACTATAATTAATTTTATAGAAACTGGTTTACATAAAATGAATAAAGTTTGGTTCGGTTAATATTTTTAAAAAACAATGATTCGATTAACGATTAAAGAAAAAAGTTTGGTTTATTTGGTTAACGATAATTCAATTCGATAGGTGGTTGAATTGACCATTTGAACACCCTTAATTTTAATTATTAGTGTTTTATAACATAATACTAAATTATTATATTAATATTAAATATATAAATTAATGTTACTCGTTATTAATAATTTAATAATATTATATTATAAAAATAGATAAATATTAATAATTTATTTAAAAATATAATATCATAAATATTATAATATATATGAGTATATATTAATATAATATTAAAAATATAATATTATTAAAATTATATTATATGTATACTAAATATTTTAATAATTAATATTTTATTAAAATGATATTAAAATATTAATTTAATATTAAATGTATAAAATAATTTTTTTGAGTGCTTATATTCTAAAGTGAAAAGTTAGGAAAATATTTTACAAAAAAATCAGATGGTAAAACAATTTATAGAAAATCAAAAGAACTAAGAAAATGAATTACATTAGAAAAATTAATTAAAACTATTAAACAATAAAAAAAATTCTATAAAACTAATTATAACTATCAAATACAGAAAATGAGAAAAATATTTTTAAGAAAACAATTTTCAGCTATCAAACACACTAATAATGTAGTCTTACTGTACACGTGCTAAATTATGTGGCGAAGATTTCAAAGAGCAAGTGGGAGTTAAAAAGCACGTGGTTTTCCGAACAGTGGGGAACCCCCTAGATCTTGGCATCAACACATTGTCTTTTTAATAAATGCCGACATCAGTCATTCAATTACTGCTGCGCCCTTCGCTTTATCAACACGTGTTAAATATTCCGATTCAATTTTTGTTCAAAAGATATTCCGATTTAATAACACAAAAGATTCTCGACGATTAAAGAATACTAAAAAGTTACACGTGATGCATTGTTTTTATTATTTTTTACTAGTCGGAAATACATCAGAGGTATTGTATTTTAAAATATATATATAATGTGACTTTGTTGATATTCGATCAAACTCAATTAAATAATCGAATAATTTTATCAAGAGGAGGTGAATAGATTTTTTTTAGTTTTGGGAGTAAATAGTATAAAGATGAAATAATTTACACAATAATTTATAATGGTTCGACTTCTCAACCAAATCTACATCTAATACCTAAACTTTTTACTTAGGATTTTCTAACAATTCACTAATTTGTTAATTCTTTCTTTCTCTATGACAAAGAAATAACTTTTACAACTCCCTAACTTTTCAAAGGCTAAACTATAACCAATCCCTTTACAAAATGAATAAAAGATGTAAACAAGAAAAGATGTTAAAGGAAGGTGTTTACAAAAATAAGATCACTAAAACACTAATATTTACAAGATAAAGGAAAATAAAATAAAAATCTTTTCTCTTGTGTTTGATTACTTGGATAGGTGTTCCCGACCTTCTTCAAATGTCTTCAACTTGTTTTTATATGTTGGAATGAGTTTGTGGTCATTTCTAGTCGTTATGAATGTTTTGGAGACGTTGGAGAATTAATTTTCTGTAAAATAAATTTGCACAAGACAGAGAGTATCGATAATCCTTTAATGAGTGTCAGTATTACCTTTGTAATATTTAAATAAACTAACATTTAAAGACCGTTGGGCTTAACCAGTATCGACACTAGGCTTCATGGTATTGATATCACTATGTAAAGTAGTATCAGTACCTATTTTGCATTCTGTAATTTGAGCAATTTGGAAAACATCTTGTAGTATAATACCTAGAGAGTATCGATACTTCTTTACCTTTGATATCGGTACCACACGAACAATATCGGTACTGTTAATGTATTATCGATATTGTTCTTAAGTATCGATACTATACCTTTCTCGCTTCTGTAACCTACGTGTGAAACAATCACACGCTAAGTCTATGACTTAGTGAGGCATTACATTTATAAAAGAACTCTAATTATTTAAACATGCAGGAACGCATCATCTCATGATGTCATACCAAAACAATATAACATTACATACAATGTAATACACACATATACATATCTCACACTATTTCCATTACCAACCTTATTCTACTATCTATATTCTTATCATTTATGTCTTATAACCATATACTCGTATGTCTATTCTTTTAAGCCACATATGATTCATTTAACCAAGCAATACACATCATCATATAATCATATAATGCAATTCATATGACAAAAGCATATAATTTACATGTAATATATATATATATATATTTATTGTTATCTCTTTGTTAGCCCATGTACATATGTGAGAACTTAAGATATGTGAGTACATTGAGGTTGTGCACTATTATGCTGTCACCACAGCTCGTATAATTATCCCGAATGACCTATCCAGAGGTCATAAAGAACCCCGACAACTGTCCATATGATCCAAAGAACCTAGGTAAATTGTCCATATGTTCCTCAGAACATAGGTATACTGTCCATATGTCTCAAAAGACATAGGTAATTATGTCCATATGTTCCGTAGAACATAGGTAAACCCTCGACTCTTGGCATGCCAACTATACCCCTAGCTCTCATATCATATAACATGAGCATTATCATTTATAACAGCTCACATATTTACATATTCATATCACATCATTCTTTCACATATCTCTTTATCACATTTCATGTAATCACATATTTATTCTCTTCTGTCACATACCACATGTATGTGTAAACATTTATCTCATATCATATAACATGTATCACATATTGCATATTCATGTAATCATATAGATCATGTCACATAGCTTATATTATTTCTCATATTCATATATATATATGGTTCATTTTCATATATCAAATATATCACATTCATATAACATATTCATATAGGCTCACGGTTTTATCACCTATCATGTCATTTCACATATAAATCTACAAACACATACTTCTATGAATTCATGAATTTTACTATTGAAAATAGACTTATCATAAGTCTTATTTTCCATTGAACATCATATACTAAATAATGTACACTCACCTTGGCCTCACTAAGTTCCAATCCCATTTTATGATTCCTTTATTTCGATCGAATTTTAACCTGATAGTCGTCCCGAAACTTGTTCGTGCTCGATATCTACATAATCATACATTGATACATATCAGTATTCAATTGATGTATTCTAATCTATCATTTCTTAGACCAAAAGAAAGGTCTAATTCTATTTCCCCTTGAAGTGCATCGGTACATTCTACAGTGCATCGATGCATTCCTTAACATGTGCATCGATGCACTATCCATGCATCGGTACATAAATTACATTCGATGTTTTCATTTAAGGGAGTGCATCGATGCACTCCTTATAAATCGATGCACTAATTGCATTCGATGTTTATTTATTTAGAGTGCATCGATACACATTGAAGATGCATCGATGCACACAACCCAGAAATTCCATTTTGAGCACGAAAATGTCCTACTTTGTCCTCAAATTCCACTTATTAACCCCTCCTTATACCTTAAAACTTATCTATACATACGTAAACCTTTTTATAACACTATAACACTTCACCATCTCTCATAATTCACCATAATTATTGAATCAAAGAATTTTATCAAATTTTTCATGTGTTCTTAATTCAATTCTATCACCTATAACTTCTTAATTAACCCTTTGACAAGTCAAATTTAACCTCAAATTATACTTATCAACTCTTTTCCAAAATTTCATTTAAAAACTTCAAATCTTTTATCTCTCTTAACTCCTTCATCTTATGGTTTTAAGACAAATTAAGCTTTCCTTAAGCTTAATTATCATCTCAAGAATTAAACCCAACTTCAAATTGAAAGAAAACAATCACTTGACATAATCTTATCTTACCAATGGAGCCACGAGAAGAAAGGAAGAAGAAAGCCAAGCATCTCCAGAGTCTTCTAATTTTTCTTCTCCTCTCCACGTGTCTACTTTTATAAGGGAAAATAAAAATATTTATTTGTCAAATAACCATTATACCCCTTATTCCATTAGTTATTTACTGAACAATAAAATAAATCTTTCAAAATCAGACTTCAAATTTTCAAAACTTCCATTTTAGTCACTAACCCCGATTTTGGGATATTACAGTTTGTCTAAGCTGGACATTAGAATGATGATTGTGATATGAAAGTCATTTGAGATTATGGAATCAGTTTTTATCATATCATAATCAACATGTTAACATTCAACATAGAATATTGTCCGTTTTTTTGAATGAAATAGGACGAATTTGGAACATAATGAATAGTCAAGTGATCATTTTGTAACATTTAATAGTAAAGGGACTCAACAAAATAACGTTCTATAGTCAAAGGATCATTTTATAACTTTTAATAATCGATGGACTTAATAAAGTAGTAGCCTATAGTCGAGGGACCATTTGTGTACTTTACCCCAAAACTTTTAACATAATAACAACTCACACTCAATACTAAGGAGTATTTTATTTCAAGTGAATTTGGATGCGGTGATGGTGTCGTGTTTAAAACATGTCATTGCGCCGTTGTATTTTTGGTTGCAGCCGAAACCAGGACCGCGCCGCAATAAAAACAGTAGTTAACTGGAGCCGTCTCCGAAAGGAGATAGATAGGGGCGATCCTGTCCGATCGTGACCATCGGCTCCGTTTTGGCCTTGCATCATTCTTTTGTTGGGACCTTGCACCGTCCACTTACCCAATCATCGGTCGACATTTTTCTTTCGATCCTTATTCTTAATTTCAAACCAAATACTTTTACTTGCATCAACTTCAACCCCATACAACTTGATGTTTGTTTTAGTATGTTACTGACTTTTTTATATATATATAAAATAGTTTATATAATAAATTAGTACCTAAAGTATGTCTTCTTTTTCATTAAGTACGTAAAATATAATTTTAGTCAAAATAAATACCTAAAGTATATTTTGATCAAAATAGATACCTAAAGTACTTAGTTTTTTTTTCATCTAAGTACCTAAAATACTATTTAATTAATGTCACATATCAACTTTTTAGAACTTAAATGGAAATTTTTGAATAGTTTAAGTACATATTTTACCATAAAATATTTTAAGTACTTATTTTGATAAAAAAAAAAGATAACTTTATATACTTATTTTGATCAAAAAGTACTTTAGGTACTTAAATGAAAAAGAAGATATACTTTAGATACTTATTTATGATATAAAATACATAAATTTGTATATTATTTAAGAAAGCATTTTGCTATTGAATAAATGAGACAATACAAATTGTGAATTACTCGAGATCTACTCGGTCAAAGCTCGATAAATACTCGATTCAAATAGACTCAACTCGAATTATTGATGAAAATTATTGATGAGTTGAAACAAACTACTTGATACTAAATTCGAAAAACTCACAAGCAACTAGAAAATATAATACATTAAGACTTCATTTTCTTAAAATATAAATTATTAATAATATTAACATTTATGTATTTCTTCTAAAAAAACATAGCATAAAATTTTCATTTATTTAAGGTTTCAAGTTTGACTTTCAATCGAATCAAGTTAAATTGTTTTCATTTCAAACTTTTTCGAGTTTCGAGTTCAAGTTGAGCTTAAAAATTTTAAGCTCACAAGTTTTCAAACCGAATCAATCTTCATTATAAAGTTTTCAAGTCGAATTCAATAATACTTGACTCATTTACAACCCTAATTGTATCAATAATAACAAACGAATACAATGAATTCTCACTCTATACAAAGCCTTCAACTGTTATTCTTTCCTCTCTATCTTAGAGAGAGTAGATTTTTAATGCTATATATAATTTGGTAATATACTAAATGAATGCCTCCAAACGACTTTGCATTTCGTTGCCTCCAAACCAGATAATTAAATCCATTAAAGCTGAATTTTTTTACATCATCTAGTTAAATACGATTTTATTTAATACCGATTCTATTAATATTTAGTTATTTAGTACGAACCAAATTATCTTGGTAATTAATGAAATGGTTCTTATTCCTAAAAGTCATAGGTTCAAACACCAACGACTGTAGCAAGATAGTTGAACATTTATTGTCAAATGGTTGAAAATATACTAAACATTATTGGTTCTATCATTCATGTTAGTGTAGGTTTGACTAACAAACCACTTTCTCTAATACCAACCGTAGGCTGAGCATAATATCCCACTTCCATCCATTACAAACTTAGTAACCATTCATCAATATTCATAAGAGGAACGACTAATATATTGAAATAATATACTAAATAATAATAAACTAAATCTCAACCATTCGAAAATAACACTAAATATTAACCCCCCAAAAGAAAAGGGTTTAAAATTACTCTGAGTCATTCTTATTTTTTCAGAAAACACTAATCTTAAGTAAATTCCATCTTTTGGGGATCACTTTCCAAAATTACATCAAAAGACAACATGAGCACCTACTTCTCTTACCTCTGCGTGCGTATACATTGCGAGTGCTGCAGCATCAGCCCGTCTTCTGAGATGAACTATTGACACATTTCAAACGAGCAATCAGTTCGTCCTGCACAGTTTGATGTATCATAAAATGGGTCCAGAATTTAATAGTAATTAGCTCAGCATGTAAGGAAATATAATCTATGTTATTCAGATATAAGTTCAATAGTTCATTCAATTCTATCCATGAATTAGGAGGGTCTTCGGAGAGCAATATCCCCATATCCATTATACAAGAATGCATCAGATATGGATATGGAAAAATGAATATTCAGAACAACATAAGCTTGTGGTGGTGTCATCGTGTCAATGCATCTAAAATGCAAAAGAATCACCACGTAGATATCTATTCCTGGATCATTAAATATGGCCAACTACCCAGAGCATTTAGATTTAAAAGACTTTTAAAAATGGCATCCAAGAAAGCTTTCAAGAGAACATGCCTTCTTCCCCTTGGGAGAGAGTCCTCTTTCCCTCAGAAGGGCACGGAGTCTCTCTACGGTTAAACTATGGTACTCCTCAGCTGCACGACTGCTTGATCCCTCTGCAAGTTTTTAAGTTGTTAGAGGAACTCGAGATATATTTCTCCGAATAATAAATCCATGAATGGTTGAGACAATTTTAACAAGATAAATCATATTGATGCCAAAGGACAATAAGGTGGTTTGGTGAAAATAGAATGGTTTCAATCGCATTACAAGCCAATTTATTAAATAGAGCATGGAAAATCATCCCTAGAGATCAACCAGAGAAAAAGAAATTTGAAATCTATAACACTAATCAGACAATTTAACCCAAAACGTCATATTTTGCTACTTTTACTAATTGAAGAAATTTCATAAATTCAATTGTATAAAAAATAGCAGCTACAGTGACTGCAGTGACACTGTAATTTCCTGACATTTTTGACCCCATATATGGAACCATGCACATGAATACATACACAAGGAGTAAGGATTAATACAAAACATCTTATCGACTGACCTGATTGAGGAGTACCTCGTGTATTGGCTTTCTTTGCAGAAATCCTGCTATCCATGACTCTTTCAGCAGCCCTGCGGGAAAAAGATTGGCAAGCATCATAAAATCTACCCTAGTCATCTGGTATGATCGGATGCAATAAGATGAGTGCAATAACACATGACGTAATCCATGTATTTTGCTAGAAACAGCAGGCTAAACAAAGATACAAAATAAATCTTGCATGAAGGTTAACAGTGAATAGTAAAAAAACTAATATTAACACAGGCAATAAATATAAACAAGATATTGAACATCATTTACCCAAGACAGAAAATCCATACCTCTTTCTAGGACCCTCAGCTGCAGCTTTCATAACCTTTGAACAAGAATCACCATTCTTATCATTAAGCGTGAGTGATCTAATAAGTATGTTCTGCTGGTTTGTCTTTATGAGCTGGCTCTCTGGAGATAGAAGAGAAAATAAGATTATCTAGTTTGTTAATAAGAATAAATCTCAAAACTATTTCTTGCAACAACAGAGATCTTGAGAATAAACAAGATAATCTGCAAAAAACGCATGGATATTAAAATCATAAACAAGACAATTATAAAATACAAATAGAAACAAAATGGCACATTAATCACCATCCAATACTGAAGATACTTTCATACAATCAATATGCGACTTAAGTAGCAGTAGATAAGAAATATTTAGGGCGTCAAATTAATATCCTTAAGATGCATTATAAATTCCATATATGCTTTGAATTACAAACTCCCAAACTGTTGCAACGAGTATGAGTTACATGTCTTAAATTTGTAATGAATTTCTCTCTTTCCTGCTAACTATTTCACTCGATAGGTGTTTCAAGCCTTCAACAGTACATGCTGATTATAACTTAGTGAAACAAGACAAGTAACCCATAAAAAAAAAGGTGCCAATGATCGCAGCAGATGTAAACCAGGCACCAGAACGCAATTAAGTGTAGTCAGCCTTACAAGTTGATTTTTCAACAATGGTAAATAGAAATTAATATACACTAAAAAGACCTTGTACATTAAAATAGATGTAATAGCAGTAATTTTTTTTGGATAAGAAGTTATAGCAGTAATTAATGGTTCTTAAGTGGAAAAGGCATAGATTGAATGGAATGGTCATGCATGTATTTAAATATTTAAACTAAAATAGAGAAATTATTTGCAAACTCTCAAAACATATAGAAATCCTCAAGAAGTTGAAGTTTACAGCAACCTGGTGGAGAAGTGTCGTTCTCACAAATATAAACTCGCATCCCCCCCTGCAAAAAGGTTTGCAATATAAGCAACATTTTGTAGAAAATTATATGCTCTAGATAAAAGGAACAGATTATTCATTGACAAGACTAAAAAATTATTCAGTTCAATATACAAAAGCAGGAAAAAATATGCCAAGAAATAAAACTAAATGGAAATAACTATATTAGTTAAATATGTGATTGCAGTAATTCAAACAAGACAGCCACCCAGTTTCCCTTTTACTAATCTGATCCATTCTAACCAAATGAGAAACTCTCAGCTTGCATCCCTCGAAGAATTGCATAGTATACGACTGGAATTGAAATACAGATTTTACATTTTTATATTTTACATGACATATTCTTGTGGCAAGATACGGTTAAGGTAATTGGAAAGGAAAATGGTATAGCGAAACAGACAGATAAACTAAGAAGCAATTATTTGAGAAGTATTCATGCTCTACTGAAATACAAAACACGTGAAAATGACTCAATTTTGAAGAGTAAAGCAGAGTACATTGAGAAACAAAAGACCTCCACATGTCCAAAATCCTAAAACCACTGCAAAGCATAAGATTTCCCAAGGTGTAACTGGCTATATCCTAAACCCCCATAACTTACACATGGCAAGAAGAATCAAAAGTCAATGAATAAAGGCTATGCTATGTCAAAAGGCATGTGCAAATGGAATCATTCTTATAAAAACGCTAAATCAGGTTCGTATTTGGTTAGTAAAATCAAGTGTTTGGCAGCCAAAGATGCAGGAATTCATTCCAAGTTGAAAAATAAGACCCCCTAAAATAGCTCGACTAAGGACAGCCTAAAATACTAATCCCAAAGAGATCATATTTCAAAATATATCTCTACATGCAAATTCTGGTTCTGTACCAAAACGGTGTATTTTACTACTAAAGAATTTTTCATTAGCTCAAATAACAAATTTCTCTCCACTTTCCAAGTTAAATTTCTCACTGCAAAAACCTACCAAACCATCCACCAGACATAAATTTAATCACATTTGAAACATTAATCAATACATCCTAAAACCTCGAATCAGAACCATAAATGGTTTGCATCGCATCTAAAATTAAACTAATCCTAAGCTAATATCATAATTATTTACTTTTTCAGTCTGAAATCAGTAAAACTACTTTACTTCCACAAACAGTTCAAGGCTTCGTTCACTTATCACACTTTATATGCGACGAATGGACAAAAACAAAGTTATAATAACAATAATAAGAAATTAAATTAATTAAATAAATAAGAGAATGAAAAACGCAACCAGATTGGAGGAGATGACGGTGGAGGAGAGGTGGCCGCAAGAGGGGAGATTGAAGAGGAACTTGGAAGCGCCGGAAGACGGTTTATCAAAATGTAAGTGTTGAGAAGAGGAGCCCTCCATTGGCCTTTACAATAACCCTCGCCCCAATTTTTTTTTCAAGTTGAAAACTTTTTTAAAAAAATATCAAGTTGAAATAAGTAGAAGACGAAGCGTGAAAAGTCGAGAAAGCCCGCCACTACTCATTTTCCCGCTATATATCCGGGATTTCCCCCTTTGTGTGGCAGGTTAGAGTGGGTCTTTTCGTATTTTTATTTTTTGGGATTTTTTTTTGGATAATTCAAAAATTTATTACCCAAACTAACAATATTGCTACAATTAATCAAACAAAGAAACTATGAACAACCTAGAAAAAAAATGATTGGTTAGACTATATTCCAAGCATTACAAATGCTAAAGTTAATACTATCAAGTCTATTAATAGGTTTTCCCCTAAGATGAATAACCACAACTTCCATGATTTTTTTGAGCAAGGCTTCGACAGTTCTTCGACGTCCGAGGAAGATTCTACAATTTCGTTTTTGCCACAAAGAGTAAATGAAACAGACCATGCAAGCTTCAAAATGAAAGTGATTAGGGACTTCCCTTTCCAAGAAGAACTTGCCCAAGCAATCGTTTCATCCCAAGACATGAAAGAGGAATTCATTCCATTAAGAAGCATAATTGAGTTCCAGAGGTCGACTGCCAAAGGGAAGGGAGAAGAGATGATTCCGAGACTCTTGGAAGGAGCTGCAGTTGACACAAATACCATCAGAGTAGATTCTCATTCTTAGGAGACGATCTCTAGTAGGAAGTTGTCGAGAAGGGTCATCCAGGCAATCATATTGTGCTTAGGAACATGCATTGGAAACCAGATTAACCTATGCCAAGGAACCTTTTGCTTTTGCATTTGAGTCATTTCCCAGATTTCTTTAGTCTGCAATTGACCAGTAGTGAAGAGAGGATAAGCAACAGTCCTCAGTTTAAGAATCGTTTAATGCTCCAACTTACAGTTGCTCCAGCTTGGAAATGCCAGAAATCTTGGTTCTTTAGGACATAATTATTAAGCCATGCTACCCAAAGGGATCCATTTCCTGCTAGGATCTTCCTGATAAGATTAAAAATACAGACTCTACACTAATCTTTTAGATTTTTCAGTCCAAGGCCTCATTCTGATTTAGGAAGATAAATGTGTTCCCAGCTTACTCTGGCTCCAGCTTTTTATAGCTCCTTTCTAGAAGAATTGGGAGCAGAGCTGTTCAACCTTATTTAAAATCGAAGCAGGAAATAAACTGTCTACACCAATAATTGTAGACATTGTACAAAACAGTTTTAATCAATTCGAGTCTGCTTGCATAACTTAAATTCTTCCAGACCAGAGCTGCAACCTTTGTTTCATTTTAGTAAGTAAAGCTTCACAATCTTTCTCAGTGAGGTTACGAGAGACAAGAGGAATGCCAAGGTATTTGACAGGAAGAGAACCAATCTTAAAGCCATAGATCCTTTTGATGTTATCAATCATGCTTAAGGGAATACCTGTAGCAAAGAGCTCAGATTTAGAGGAATTGAGCTTAAGACCTGAAATTTGATGAAATTGATCAAGCACACTAAGCACACCAGTCACAGAGTCCAAATTACCTTTACAAAAAATCAGAAGATCATCCGCAAAAGATAGGTGAGTAAGTCCTATCTTCTTGCATTTAGGATAGAAACAAAAAATTCCTTTATTTGTAGCCAAATTGAGCATTCTAGATAAGATGTTCATTGCAAGAACAAAAAGATAAGGGGAAAGTGGATCTCACTGTCTAAGCCCTCTAGCCCCTTTAAAATAACCAATTAAGGTACCATTGAAAGAGATAGAGTACCTGACTTGAGAGAAACATTCTTCAATCCAAGCAATAAACTGTTGGGGAAACTCAATAGCTTTGAGAACAACAAAATGAACCTCCAATCTAATGAATCAAATGCCTTGTGAAGGTCAATTTTCATGGAGCATCTAGGGGAAATGTTTTTCCTACCATAACCTTTAACCATCTCCCAAGCAAGCAGGGAATTATCAACAATGATCCTCTCTGATGAAAGCAGAGCGATTCAAAGAAACGATCTCAGGAATGTAAATATTCAACCTATTAACAAGGATTTTAGAGATAGTCTTATAGATCACAAAACAACAGGAAATTTGCCTAAAGTCTTTAACAACACTTGCGTTAGGGACTGTAGGCACTAGAGCAATAACCGTGGAATTAAAGGCTGGATTTATGAAGTTATTGGAAAAGAAATATTTAACAGTTGCTATGACATCCTCTCCAACAATTGACCAGGTTTCTTAAAGAATAAGAAAGTGAATCCATCCGGGCCAGGAGCCTTATCATTTCCTTGGCAGAAAACAACATTTTAGATTTCTTCATCAGTAACATCCTTGATAAGATTGTTAGAAGCTTCATAAGGTAATGAGTAATTTAAGAGGTCTTTGACAAGGTTAGGATCAATCTCCTTTATAGATGTATCAGCAGAACCAATCAGCTTGGATTAATAGAAAGAAATCACTTCTTGAGTCATGGAATCAAAGGATTCTAATCTGTTTCCTTGATCATCCACAAGAACCCTTATCGTATCCCTTTTATTTTTATAGGCCACTATAGAATGGAAAAATTTAGTATTTAAGTATGAATTCTTTTAGAAATAGTTATTTATAATTATATATCAATATTAATTATTAATTTAAAGTAAACTCTAGTTTCAATTATATATATGTTTGATGTATACAACAAGAGAAATAGTTTCTTCGGGAGTTTCTTAAAGTTACTTTATTTTGGCCTTAAGTACCAACTCGTCCATGGTCACCATGGTGACGGGCGGAAAATGGGGAAGAATCCCTGAGAAGGAGCATCAAGAGAGTCAGAGCCACATATTTTAACGATAACAGTGAGGGTATCCATATCACAGTTTGAAAATCCTGGAGGGACAAGGTGGTGGAATCATCACCTTTTGCAGGAATACTTCAAAACTCGACAGAGATCGAGGAAGGGGATGTAACCTCAGATTAAGATGACGTAACAGACGAGAGAGATATTCTGACGCCGGATAGGATAATGATTATCCTGTAGGCTGGTTTCAACAGATGATTCACAAGAGAAAATTCACCCAAAACCAGAGAAAACAAGTCTCTAGGGTTTAACGAAATATTATAAAATCAAACCATGTCCAAATCAGTCCACAAGCCGGACTGTTATAGCTAAAAATCATGTTTATCCGAATTTTACCAAAAATATAAAAATCCCGAAAATCACTCTAAATTGAAATTCGAAATAAAATAAACAATCTGCAAAAAATTCGGCCCGAATCGGATTTAAATTGACTTCTTAACTGACAAGTGAAATATTATCATAAATAGTAAAAAATAAATAAAGCTAGTAATTCGGAGGGGAAAACGGCAGAATTCGAGGTCGAAGAAAAGGCCATATGGAGTCATGCTCAATGAGGATAGCGTGCGCGTCAAAATGAGCTTTCCGAATTGGGGTCTTATGCGTTATTCCGACACTCGTAGCCAAAGTTATAGTCAAAAGACTGAAACACACTCAAAACGGCCCCAATGAAGAACATATCACAATCAACTCCCGTCTTTGTGCTGATTTGCCAACTCATGGTATCTTAGCGCCATCAAGGTGCAATCTGACAGCTCAACATCATCTGTCTCGGATCCCCTGCATCATATTCCAACAATGAAAATTTCAACAAATTTAAAGAAAAAGATCCGTGAGCCTTGGAAGAAAGCTTTGATATTCAAAGTGTTAGGGAAAAAGGTTTCCTACAAGATCTCGATCAATAAAGTGACTTCTTTATGAAATGTTGATGGTGAGTTTGAATGTATAGAATTGGGAAACAACTTCTATGTTATGAAATTTCAAAACATGGAAGATAGAATGAAGGTTCTAATTGAGGGTCCTTGGAAAATCATGGACCACTACATGACGGTGCATAAATGGAGACCGAATTTTATTGCACCAGATATGGTTTTCAACGTAGAATATGAAGGATTGCACCAGATATGTTTCCGCTGTGGAATAGTTGGCCATAGGACACCCTCATGTCCTTTGAAATTAATGGATACGGAGGAAGCGCATGTGGACAAGAGCGAGGTAAAAGAACCTCAAGAAGAAAATCGGAGGAAAACGAACAAGTGGAAAAGCAATCTACGGAGGAAGGAAAGTTTGGTCATTGGATGCTGGTTCAACGGAAACATAGAAACACTAGGAATAATACAAAGGCGAAGGAGCTTGGGAATCAAGAAAATCGAACAGGGAATAGATTTGAGGTCTTAAATTAAGAGGGTATTAAATCAACATCAAATGCGATGGAAGGAAGTGATAAAGAAATAGAAGACAATCACAACCACCAAAGAATACTAGAGGAGTTAGAGAAACCCCAAAAGATAAAACAAAGGCCACAAGCACGAAATGGAGAAGATGCAAAACAATAACCCTAATGAAACCGGATGGGGGGGGGGTCGAGGTAACAAAGCTCCCGACATTCTGTGAACACACAGGAAATCTATAAGGAATGGGGATAAAGAGCAGGACCGTACGTCTAACACATCTAAAGAAATTTTGTTTTTCCAGAAACATCATGGATCGACGAATACGATCACTAACGATAACCCAAAGAGGGTTACAAACGAAAAGCCAAATGAAGAAACCTCTGAGAATATGATTGTGGACCTCGAGGGAGAATCAAGTGAAGCTGTTTCTGAAAATAACATTAATGAGATGGAACAAGTGGACACCGAATCTGATCATAACGCAGCCATGGAGATAACCTAGGTTATTGGAAACGGAGTTCATACCGTTCAATTGAACGTCCACCAATCAGCCTCAAACCAATGAAGTTAGTTTCATGGAATTGCAGAGGGGTTGGGAGCAATGATTTTAAGAGAAATTGTAGATATCTCATCCGTGAAGAAGCTCCTGGTGTTAGGGTTACTGGAAACAAAGGCGAAAGCAGGTCTTGCTAATTCACTTCAAAAGACCTTCAAGTTTGACGGAAATTTCGAAGTTCCTTCCCAACGTTTCCGAGGTGGCATCATCATGCTTTGACATTCTTATCAGGTTAAGATTAGGATTAGCTATACTACGGATCAAGCCATTCATTGTGAGGTTCAAGAGGGAGAGAAGAGTTGGCTTTTATCGCTGGTGTATGTTCAACCCCATCAAAAATAAGTAAATGGAATTTTGTGAGGATTTGGAGAATTTTGCGAATAGAGTTGACAAACCCTGGATGGTTATAGGGGATTTTAATGATATAGTTTCCTTAGACGAACGTGATGGTAGTAACTCCGACTGTATTGAGCGCATTATGACCTTTCAGGATTGTTGGGACAAATGCAAGCTTTTAGACGCGGGTTATTGGGTAACATGTTTACTTGGGTGTGCAGAAGCCAAGGAAACGTGGTCCTGTAGGAAAGACACGATAGAGTCCTCCATAACGTAGAGTTGGTCACCCTTTTCCCAAATCTTCGTGTTATTAATGGTACCAGGAAACATTCCGACCATAATCCGATCTTGGTGAATACTATGTTGGACTATCATATGGATAAGGAAAAACGCCCCTTTAGATTCGAAGCGGGTTGGCTAACTCACGAGGAGTTCAACCTTGTTTTCAGCAATGCTTGGAATAGAAAGAAAGACGGTATTGTAGATGAGATTGAAGAAACTAAGAAAGAAATTATATTGCTTGGAAGGAAGAAGCCTTTGGAAACATATTCAGATGGAAAATAACGTTATTGAAGCGCCTGGGAGGTATCCAAAGAGCTCAAATTTATAGACACCCTAAGCGGCTTCAAGCTCTGGAAAAAAGTTTAAATGATGAGTACCAGTTGGTTCTACTCAGGAAGAAACCTTGTGACTCCAAAAATGGCGTCTGGATTGGCTTGTTAAGGGGGAAAGAAATACCCGATTTTTTCACCTCACTACCATACTTAGATGTAGATACAATAGGGTTCAAGGTCTTTATATAGAGGATGCTTGAACTACTGATAAACGTCTTCTAAATCAACATGTAGTCAATTTCTATAATAACCTCTTTGTTAAGAAAGAGCAGTTTGGTTTCCGAAGAACGTACGATAGGTTTTGCTTAATTTTAAGTGAAGATGAGAAGCGGGATATGGGCCGAGAAATTACAATTGAGGAAGTGCAGATAACTCTATTTTCGATGAAGAGAATGAAAGCCTTCTTCTATAAGAAGAATTGGGACACAGTCAAAGGAACACTCCTCGCTTTTGCCAATGCTTCTTTATGCTCGGGGAGAATGGACCCTAAGTTCTTAAAGCTTTCCTGGCCTTGATCCCAAAAGCAAGTACGACAAGTTTGATAAGTCAATTCCGTCCCATTAGCTTACTGAACACTTCGTACAAGATTTTCTCCAAGATTCTTGTGCAACATTTGCGTCCAGTCCTCCAACGGATTGTGAGCCCATATTAGAATAGCTTCTTGGCCGGTAGATGCACCTAAGATAATATACTGGTAGTTCAAGATATTACTCACTCTATGATGAATTTAAGAGGTAGAAAAGGATAGGTTACTCTGAAGATCGATCTCCAAAAAGCGTACGAAATTCGTGAATTGGAGCTTCTTGAGGAAACTCTTATTGAGCTTAATCTCCCTAAGAAAGTGGTTAATATTATCATGTTCTGCCTGAAAAGCGAGTACCATTGTTCCTTTGTGGAATGGTGAAACCACTGAAAGCATTGAACCGAAACAAGGTCTCCGACAGGGAGACCCGCTGTCCCCCTACCTATTTATTATTGTGATGGAGAGACTCTAATATGATCCTCGAAAAAGTGGAGGAGCATGGAAGGCTATCAAAACTGCTAGGGGAGGGACTAAAATCAGCCACATGTTCTTTGCTGATGACCTCTTGCTCTTTGCCGAGGCCAACGCAGATCAAGTAATTCAAATCCGTGATAGCTTAAAGGAATTCAACTTTGCTTCGGGTTTGGAGGTAAACTTACAAAGATCCTAACTTTTTGTCTCTCCAAATATTAATCTTGGGACTTCGAATTACTTGAGCGATTTGTGTTGCATTCCTTTAACAGACGACTTGGGAACTTATTTGGGAGTCCCAATAATCCACAAAAGGATAAATGCAGCTACGTACGTCCCTATGGTGGACAAAGTGATGAAAAATCTCGTTGGATGAAAAGGGAGGGTCCTCTCGACAGCGGGGAGAAGAACACTAATACAATCCGTCGCTTCTACAATATCAGTACATACGATGCGGTGTCTGCAACAAATTGGATAGATTGAACTGGAACTTCAGTGGGGTAGAGATACGAAATTCACCCATAACCATTTGGTGTTCTGGGATAAAGTTTGCAAAGCTAAGAAGTACAAAGGATTGGGTCTGAGAAAAGTGAGAACAATGAACATGGCTTTAACGGTAAAGAATGGTTGACGTATGTATAAGCATCACGAGGCGATCTGGTGCAAATTATTTAGAGAGAAATACTTGAGGCATGCTGATTTCATGATTGCAAACTAACGAACTAATAGATCCACTACTTGGAAGGAATTTCTAGTACTTGGGATATGATTAAAAATGGGTGTAAATGGCGTATTCACTCGGACACCCAAGTAAAGTTCTGGCACTATTGGTGGTTGGTGGATAGGCCTCTTGCAAAATCATACCCAGCTGTGGAAACTCCAGACAGAAACGAGACGGTGAGTATGTATATATCAGAGTCTGGAAACTAAAACCTTCATGGGATACAAGGTTTCATTACGAACGAAACGAAAGAACACATCCATGGAATACCCGTTCCTGCTGCTTATCATACGAATGAAGGTGATCCAGTCTAGGGGTTAGCGAAAAATGACAGGTTTTCTGTAAGTTCCAAGGCTAGAGCTATAATGGAAATGAAAATAGAAGGCCAACCAAGTTTCAATCTGTTTGGCACAGCTCGCGCAGGTTTGATCCCTGCTGTCGACGTGTCCTTTTTGCTGTGTGTTTTATTTTACCCTTTTCTGTCCACCGGATTATTTTAGGCGACGATGATAAGACTGGAGGTGGCGGCGATTGTGCTCCCGATGAGGATCGCTTGAGGTATAAGAACCATGTTGATTCTCTTCGCGCTGTGCTTGCCGCCATTCCCAATTTTCATAAAGTACTAAAACGAATTGCATCAAGGTGTCGATATGTCGGAGTGGTTTAGGAGACAGACTTGATTCTCTAGCTTCAGATACAGCCCTCTCTACTACTACTAACATTTCGCGCTATGCGGCTATTCCCAATTTTCAAGAGGTACTACAAACCCAGATTTCATTGTTCAAACTAGTCACTCTCTGCAAATTGTTATTCAGGAGAGTTTTTATTTTAAAAAAAATCAAAATTGTTATCTAGTTTTTCATTCGTATGAATTTTGAATGTGTTTCTATTAGTTCAAGGAATATGGATCCCTTTTCTGCTCTTCTTTTCTTTTTAATCTTTAAATAGTTCAAAGACATTTGAAACGGGTTCTACTGCAAATTCTCCTGCAGATGAAGCAGAGCTTGAAAAATTAGAACTCCAAGCCTCGAATCTCAGAAAGGTATTGTGCAGTGTAATAAATGCTCAAATTCCTTTTTACAGTAGTGGTAACGCCTTCCACTCTTTAATGGAGTTGATTTGGCCAACTGCTGGGATTCGAATTCGATCCCCAGCCTAACAGGAGTTCCCTTCTGAAGCTGAGCTTGATGAAGTACTCGGCCTAAGCCTTGGATATGGCGGTTTTCACTTTTTAAGTAATGGTTTTAGTGTGATTCTATCTTGGTTTAGAAAGCATAGAAATTTGGAATGTTTCATGTTATTCTTGGAAGTGTTAACAGTGAGGCCTGTAGCTGATCATTTTCTTTCAGTTGCTGTTTAATTTTGAATCTTAATCCATGAAGAAGACAATATTATTTAGTATCTGCAAATGCAGCTAATCTGGTGGTTATTTTATAGGAGCTTGCAATCGAGAATGAATGCATCGAGCTTATAATAGATTGACAATGTTAATTTTCATCACATGGAGATACTGATCAGACATTCATGATTCAGAAACGGTTCTTTCACACAAAAATCACTACTTAGTTTCATTACATGTTACTAGACATTTCTAAAACCTGTAAGGAGTATAGAGGCCCTTAGATGAACTAGTTGTGGGTCGAAGACGATCGAGTTGTAAGTGATGCCCTCATATCAACGATGGCGGATTCATCGGCACCCAACTTTATGGCCTCTTTGCTTGCTCTTATGAACCTCGAAACCGTGCCTTTGACGTACTCGTGAGCTTCTTTTACACTCATCTCTATACTTGCCTTGTCAGCAAAGCTGCTCAAGAAGTGGTCACCGTTAAGAACGGAGGCTAGTTGAACAACCTCACTCTGAAATTCGGAGAGACCGGCGTTCTCTTTTGCTTCCGTTGTCCTCAAGGGAGCTACTTCTGGTAATGTCTCTGCAATTATTTCGGATGAAAACAAATTACTGCTAATAAATATTTTTTCCCGTTCTTCATGCATGGATGATACAACTTTGATGATCTTATTAGTAAAATTAGTGTTGTTTGCACTTTTCAAATAAGCATACGCATATGTATCTGTTTTACCTGGGCAATCAGTTCTGGGAGAGGTTAATTCCCTGACAACGTTCTCGAAAGTTCCGGCCCAAGCATCTCTGTGAGTCAAGAAATTGGACGAGAGATTGAACATTTTCTTTATTGTTGCAACTTTGATGATCTTATTAGTAAAATTAGTGTTGTTTGCACTTTTCAAATAAGCATACGCATATGTATCTGTTTTACCTGGGCAATCAGTTCTGGGAGAGGTTAATTCCCTGACAACGTTCTCGAAAGTTCCGGCCCAAGCATCTCTGTGAGTCAAGAAATTGGACGAGAGATTGAACATTTTCTTTATTGTTGCAGGGATTGATGAGTGCTCATATTCAGAGTTTGGAAAAGGTCCTTTTGGACCACTAATCACTGCAACACCACAAAATTCAGCCAGCCAATTAGGAGAATACTTTAACATTCTAGTGTAAAAGATTATCAATTGATTATACATGCGAATCGGACTTTACCGGTGCCTTTCTTGATCCAAGGAGAGACCATGATCGTCGGCACACGAACACCGAGCCGGTCGAACTTGAAGAAAGAAGGTGCGGGGCCAGTGTTTCCATCCGGGTTGGGGACATTAACATAGGGAGTCTTCACATGGTCGTAGAATCCACCATGTTCATCATAAGTAATGACCAAAAGTGTCTGGTTCCATTGAGGGCTGGCCCTCAATGTCTCGTACACCTCCTTCACAAGCTTCTGGCCATTAGCAACATCATGGGACGGGTGATCGTCATTCGCCGGCATTCCCTTGAGATCGAAATAACTCGGCTCGATCACCGTCAAGCTCGGAAGCTTACCTTCCCTTGCATCTTTCTTGAACTTCAAGTTATATTGATGGAACTTGAAAACGTACTTCAATTTCCTCAGGTTCCTGTAAAACAAAGTTGTGGGGATGTTCTGGAAATAAACCCCAAAGTTCTTGCCATTCTCATGGAGTGATTCGAAGATCGTTTTTTGCGGGTAGCCATGAGCTAACTGTTTCTTAACATGGCAGGTCGAACCATGGGAAGTGGCCGAATAGGCGAACAGTCTATTCGGTTGTGTTGGACCGGGGATCGAAGAGAACCACCGGTCGAACACCGCGAATTCCTTCACCAGAGCAGCGTAAACCGGCACCGACTCCGGTTTGAAGCCTTTCATGACGGTTTCCGATAGGTTCGGGGACATGGACAATGCTTGTTCGACAAAGCCGGTCATGGAAGGAATGGTGGAAGAGCCGAATACCTGATGTTCGACGGCTTCGAAAGAGTGACCGGGATCCGGATCCACGAATTCGGCATCGTCGGTGAAGCAAATGGACTGTGGGTTCGGGTTTTGGGTTGAAACCGGGTTGCATTCGGATCCGGTCACGCCATTGATTGATGGGTTGATGTGTTTCTTCATCCAGCCGAGCATGTGATCGAAGGATCTGTTTTCCATCACCAGCACCACTATGGTCTTAATGGGTGATTGCTGCTGAGCTCCCAATGGCGTGAAAAGACATGAACCAGTGAGAAACAGCGAGAAAATGAAGGAAAACGAAGCCATTGGATTTGATAACTCGGTGGATTGGGAGCTATCCTTTGCCTTTTAAAGCTTTGAACAATAACTTCTAAAACTTTGAACAAGAACAATCATAAGTGAAAACTTGACTGGGAATTCACTGGATTATTTGCATAAAATCTGTGTTTTTTTGCCTTTATAAAACTTCCAGTGTAGAGAAAAGAGAAGAAGACAGACCCACAGAGAAGGAAAAGGAAAGGAAGTGATTGTTTTTTTTCAAAGGGAAAAGCAACAAAGTGGCAAAGAAATTGACATTTTTATTTATGAAGTTTTCTTGTATTACATTTTTTATTTGTTTTTTTTAAGTGAATTAGAAGGTTAATTGGTAAGTGAGTTGGATTTTATTTTAGTGTTGTATTGAATTCATAAAGATTCTTTACTGTGTTTCACTCGGTTTCCAACTCATCATCTTTCAGTTTCCTCCATGGAAGCTGCCTTAGTTTTCTCAGGTTGCAAGATCGGAAATAGTAACGTCGTGTCTGTCATTTATAATTAATTAATTAAAATAAAATAATATAATATAATAGTTAAAAATAAAATTTATTTTTAATTTAATTTTCTAAAGTAAATTGTATAATGATAAAGGAATTGTCATTTGGCCTTTTTTTTTTATTTGTCTTTTTTAAAGATTGATTCGACATCGCAACGATTTATTAAGATAACGTTTATCTATTATCATGTTGATATTCCCTATTTTGGACCATCAGATTAGATTTTGATATTTGATTTCCGTTTGCGGATAATTTTTTTATGTCGCTCGACTCTGATTTGTTGTTTTGTCAGTGATCTTTCAATAGTTTGATCATCTTTTGTAGTTCGTTTGCTGATGCGATCAGATCTGTTTGTATCAATCATTGTTCAAGTATTGATTAGATTTTTTAATCGTTCCTTGTATGGCTTTCGTGTGATCTTAAATTATTAATTTTATGTTAACAATTTTTTAAAAATATTATAATTATTTTACTTAATTTATTATTATAATTGTAAATCTCAATTGTAATTTGAGATATTTTTTTATAATAAAATCAATGAATTCTATAAAGAAAAATACAACACATCCAAAAGATAAAATCCGGATTGTACAAGAGAAGTATGGTAATTATTTATTTTTTATTAATATTTTTTAAATTTTAAAAATTAAATTAATTAGAGAATAATTATTAGTTCAACTGATTTTATTATTTTAAAATTTAAAATACTACGAGTTCAAATAAATTTAAATAAAATTATTAAAAAAAAATTCAAAGTATATTTAATTTAGACAGCCATAATCTCTATTTTAAAACTAAAACAAAAGGAAGCTCTTACTTTAATCTAATTTATTTATATTATCTACGGTGGAAAGTTGAGTCATCTTTGGCTTTATACGGGACAATGACTCAACTTTATCCTTCCACTAACCGAGCATGAAATGATGGGATGAGGCGAGCACTATTAATTAACCAATAATCAAGATTAAGAGTGGTTTAGTTTAGGGTTTAGAAGAAAGTAAAAATGACCAACAGTTTGATATTATTTAAGTAAAGTTTTGGGTTCGAGTTCTTATGTACGTATAAAATCTCCACTAAGAAACCCATCCATCAAAATTAGATGAGTGATGAGAATCAAGTTGGATTAATTAAGACGAAACCATAGAACCGAGTAAAAGAAAAATTAATACTTCTGAAGTGAGATGCACGTGAAGCATTTTATAATCTTCTCCAAACTGTGAAGTAAGTAATTTTGATTTTATGTGATCAACATTGGTCACGGGTGCAATTCCTGCTACTAAGTTGTCATGATCAAAGGCTGAATATGGTCCATCATTCTTCCTACTCGTGACGAACCTAATAGAGCTTACTCAATTTTATAAATCAAAAGCTCGTTTTATCACACACAAAGGATATGTCTAACATTTTGAAAATTTCCGAAACTAATGTAGCCATTATATTCGATTTGATTCGAGTTCTTTAATGAAATAAATAAATAAAATTGTATTATGTAATTTTTTTAAAAAAATAATTGAAATCAAAATTCAATGATGTAAAATTAAAATATTTAATTTATTTATTTTAGTTTTTATCTATTTATTGTTTTTCAAACTTAAAGTAAAAATGATAAGAATTGTCAGTCTAGCTCAGTTGGTAGAGTGCAAGGTTCTTAACCATGTGGTCGTGGGATCGAGTCTCATTGAGGGCAATTCATAACGGAGGTCTTCCACGGAAACTGCTCTCAACCTGACGTTAGGGGCAGCCTACTACCCTACCTCCCTCTTAACCCATTACATATGGGAATAAGGTCAGCTAAAAAAAAAGTAATTATGTTTTAAATTTACATATGGGTAAGAATGGCATCAATTCTTGGCTTACAGGATGAGGAATGTGGGAATGACCGACTTTTGTCCAAAAAGAGAGTTGAAGGAATTGAAAAAGAAATGGGTAAAATACACAAGTAGTCTCTCAACTATAGGATAATATTTTATTAAGTCATTCGACTATTAAAGTTACAAAATGATCATCTAAATATAGAATCTTTATTGAGTTCATCGACTATTAAAAGTTACAAAATGATCATCCAACTATTCATGAGTTCCAAACTCGTTCTTTTCTATTAAAAATTGATTGTAGTCCAAGTTGAATGTTAACTCGTTGAGTGAGATATGATAAAATTTGATATCAGAATCCCTTACAAGATGAGGAAGGTGGGAATGACTGACTTTTGTCAAAAAAAAGAGTTGAAGGAATTGAAAAAGAAATGGGTAAAATACACAAGTAGTCCTTCAACTATAGGATAATATTTTATTAAGTCATTCGACTATTAAAGTTACAAAATGATCATCTAAATATAGAATCTTTATTGAGTTCTTCGACTATTAAAAGTTATAAAATGGTCATCCACTATTCAAAATGATCATCTAAATATAGAATCTTTATTGAGTTCTTCGACTATTAAAAGTTATAAAATGGTCATCCAACTATTCATGAGTTCCAAACTCGTTCTTTTCTATTAAAAATTGATTGTAGTCCAAGTTGAATGTTAACTCGTTGCTTAAACGAACGCCAATTTTTAATGAAAAATGATAAGTTTAGAACATATGAATAATCAGATAATCATTTTATAACTTTTAATAGTCGAGATATTCAACAAAGTAACACCATATATACGAGGATCATTTTGTGAACTTTGCCCAAAAGGAATTGTAGAGCATTCACATCAAACGCCCCGAAATCAGGCTTTTAAGTGAGAAAAAAGTAAACCAACCACCAGCCGACGGTGGAAAACTTTTGAACAAATTTGGGCGTTTTAGACTTCGCCCCCTCTTGCTTTTCCTTCACATTCTACAATGAAGAATGAATGATTGGTTCCGATTTATGAATTCCAATAATATTTTGTTTTCAGTGAAATCTCAAAACTAATTTCATGAAATGCAACTCTGTTTATTTTCCATGCAAAAGGTGATTTCACCCTTCAACAAGTGTCAAAATTTTCAGAGGTAAAACCGTGGGAGAAGACCGCAGTTTTGAGTCCAATGTCCTAAATTATGCAGGCAGCAAAGAAGAACCCAGAAAACGAAAGGACTTGTTCATCTCTATGCTATTGTATGTTGGCCTAATAAATTAGGGAAGAAATCAAGCACAAGAAATGCCTTGAGCCATTTTATGATTGGGAAGTTTCTAACAACGCTCGTTACGGCTTTCTTCAAGTATGACATACCCCAGCCCAGCAACAACAGCAGCCCCGGCTGCCACCGCACTGTACGCGGCAGTCCACGCCTCAGATTGAGCATAATCCAAGTTCCTGAACCCGAACCCCTTCGATGGTTTTGTTTTCCGGAATAATCTAAATGCAACCTTAAACCCTGCAAAAAATCATCAACCAGATTTTAGTTAATTGAGTTGAATGAAGTTGTTATTGTTGAGGAATTTCACCACCAATGACTAGGTATTATATTCTCGGAACGGTACTACCGTGTAATGTCGGAGGGGAAGTTCGAGCAGGGTGTAGAGAGGTTGATTCAATTCACCTTAGCATCACTTTACACCCAGCTCGACCTCCCCTTCGAGGCGATATAGTGGACATAATATCTGGTTGTTAGGAATTCCGACTGATCGTGTAATTAGAAGATCCTTCAAACATTACTACGGGAGGAACATAGATTCAGAGTAACGGTGAATTCCACCGTAAAATGCTATATCGGATTTCTATTCATAAAAGGACAGTTCAGTCATACCTTCCAACCGACTAATTTTGCATGCTCAACAGCGGCTGCGAGATCACTGTCCGATGTCAGGACAACTTTGTCATGGTCTTCATCTTCATACTGCATAATATGCCCACCAATTATCAAAACATACATATTTGACACACATCGTCTTCATCTTCATTATTAAACTAGTAATTTTTTGCCAAAGGCTTGCCAGAATTTGAGGCACCCTGTTCCTGTCTATGTCATCCTCCAGTCTATGAAGGATTGCAGTTTTAGATCTGTCATACTTCGCGTATCTGCATTGTGAAACAGTAAGCAAACCACCTATTAATATACGATTTTCCTGGACATAAAAGAGGTATAAATGCAGGTTGTTGATGAAGGATAAGGTCCCTCCTCTACTATCTACCGAGCATCATGCTCCAGAAAGGCGGAAAAGGGCCCGTATGCCCGCTCGAATATTGTTTTCAACGGAGCACCATGCACCACTAACCAATTGTTAATCACACGGATATTAATCATAGATTAGAACTTGAATCAAAAAAGGTGAAAGATCAATTCTTGGTGCTAGTGTCATTATAAGATTCATGAACAGTACATACCACAAAAGAATCTATGCATTCGACCCCTTTTGTCTTGTATTTGAAACCGAATGTATTTGGCAAACTGGTAGAATGATAGGGAAGAATTCTCCCTGTCTCAGCTACTTCAGAAGCCAGCTTCAAAGAATTATCACCGAGACATCACTATCACTTAGTAACGGTAACAGCAAAAATCACAACTATATCAAGAGGAACATCAATATAGGAAACCTTTGAGCGTCATCATCGACTTCATTGGGTGGTAAGGCCAATGCAGAATCCCAAAACCTTTGCATCATCGTCGTGGAAGTCTCATTATTGATTCCAGAGGCAATACCGACCTAGTTATTGAAGAAGACACCAAGACCATTAAAAAACCATGAATTGCAAAGGAAATAGGATAAAATAACCATATTCTTCTTTGATTCTCAAATCCATCTACAAAATCACCAGTCTTGGAACAATACTGACTTGACTTATTGTGGCAACCGCGGCAGCACTCTCCATCTGCATCCGACCATAGAAACTTATTAAGAACTAGTTTGATGGACATACAACATATATATTCTTGCAAGGTAGCAATTCATATCACCTCTATCTACCATAGGAAGGTGTAAAAATTTCCCATCATGCATGGTATGCAAAGCATCAACAATTGGTGTCAACTGTTGCACATTCTGTGTTGGGAGTCATGACCTATCCAGGAAATCAAAGTAAAATGACTAGAACTCAACATTACACTCATTATATAGGTTAAAAACTGATAAGTTGCTACTAGTGTGCATACGACCAAGTCATGAGAATAAAATACTGCTGACATGGGAACATAAAATGGATCAAGGCAAAATTTACTGTCTGTACGGTAGTAGTCTCCTGAGGCAGATTTTGCACTATTACCCGCATCAATATATCCTTCGAACTGTCAGAAATTCAAAGGCATAAGTTAGAATACAGGATATGCCAATGACAACTGCAACAAGTAAAAATAACAAAACAGATTAGTATAATACTCCTTCCTTCCTTCCCTCCCTCTGCTATGTAGCGAACAATATTGAAATACGATTTGATTCATAATAGACTCACGTTATAATTGTTAGGAAATAAACCGAGTACAAGTAATTTCCCTATAACCAGATTAGTGAGAATACAAAATAAAAGCGGAAAAATAATACCCGAAAAATTGATAACGGAGTTCAGCCAATTGTGCTTACGTCTCCGGACTGCTACAGATCTTTTACTAAAGAGAAAAATTACAGGTGTTTACAAAACACACTTGAGAGAGAACTGGAAGATTTTGGGATGGTTTTGAAGCTAAATGAGCTAGGGTATTTATAGTTGAAACTTAGGGACTAATCTTGTAATTACCCTAAAATACAATGTCTAAATGTGATTTATCCATTATTATTTTCAACAAATGATCTACCAACCCATTGAAATTTTGCACCATTCGGTGCCTACCCTGCCTACATTTGAATTTGTTAATTTCATTTAGAAATTTAGGCAGTGCCCACCGTCCTTGACTTTACAATCTCCCACTTGAATATTGATTTTAATCTGTCTTCACACCTTGATCAATACAGCAGCATTTCTGGTCTTGTTATTCTAGCATGCCAACTGAAGCTGAACTCAACTTCAGTTTTTCCGTGGTCACCGTCTTTGTCAACATGTCTGCCGGATTTTGAGCTCCATTAATCTTTTCAAGTTTCAAAATCCATCTTCCAGAAGAGACCGAATAAAATGATATCTCAATTGTATGTGCTTCGTTCTGGAATGAAAAGACGGATTTTTTGCTAGATGGATAGCACTTTGACTGTCGCAATATAATACATTGTTTTCTTGTATCTTGCCTAACTCTTCCAAGAAACTTTGGAGCCAAACCATCTCCTTGCTGGCTTCCGTAACAGCGACATATTCTGCTTCGGTTATGGAGAGAGCAACTATCTTCTGTAGTTGAGAAACCCAACTCACTGCAGTACCTCCTAGAGTATAGACATACCCTGTAGTGCTCCTTTTGATGTCAACATTTCCGGCTAAGTCAGCATCTAAATAGCCTGTCAGTATCGTATCTCCACCTTTGAAACAAAGTGCTTTGTTTGTGGTACCCCGCAGATATCTGAGGATCCATTTGACTGCTTCCCAGTGTACCTTGCCCGGATTATTAATGTACCTGCTAACAGCTCCCACTGCATGAGCCCGGATTATTAATGTACCTGCTAACAGCTCCCACTGCATGAGCAATATCTGGTCTGGTACAAACCATAGCATACATCAGACTTCCAATTACTGAGGCATACGACACATTCACCATGTGTGCACGTTCTTCTTCCTCCGTCTTTGGTGATTGGTCTTTGGAGAGTATGAAATGAACACCTAAAGGTGTACTTACTGGTTTAGCATCTTGCATGTTGAACCTGGAGAGTACTTTGTTGATGTACTCATCCTGTGATAACATCAAAGTCCCCGACTTTGTGTCTCTTTTGATCCTCATCCCAAGAATCTGCTTTGCAACGCCCAGATCTTTCATAGCAAACTGCTTCGACAATTTTTGCTGCAAGTTTATAATATCTTGCATATCTGAGCCTGCAACGAGCATGTCATCAACGTATAATAATAAAATAATGAAGCTGTTGTCGAACCTCTTGATGTAGCAACAATGATCTGCTTGGCATCTGGTAAAACCATTGCTACCCATGAAGCTATCGAACTTCTTGTACCACTGTCTAGGAGCTTGTTTTAAACCATACAAGCTCTTCTTCAACTTGCATACCAGGTTTTTGTTTCCTGCCTCTATGAAGCCTTCTGGCTGCCTCATATAGATTTCTTCCTCCAAATCACCATGAAGAAAAGCTGTCTTTACATCTAACTACTCAAGATGTAAATTTTCTGCAGCTACAATTTTCAACACCAGTCTGATTGTAGACAATTTTACAACTGGAGAGAAAATTTCATTGTAGTCAATACCTTCCTTTTGTTGAAAACCTTTGACAACCAATCTTGCTTTGTAGCGTTTGCTCCCATCGTGTTCTTCTTTGATCCTGTAAATCCACTTGTTGTGGAGCGCTTTCTTGCCTAGTGGTAATTCAGCTAATTCCCACGTTTGATTTGACATTGCTTCATTATAGCACTCTGGTTCACCATTGTCAGTCAACAACAAGTAGTGCAAAGAAGGAGAATACCGTTGGGTTGGTTTAGGAATTCTGGAGGAGCGTCTCAGTTCTGGTGTACGTGGTTCTTCTTGAACTGCTTCAGGATTGATCTGAACATCATTTCCAGAAATCTCCTCGAACTCAGCAAATTCCTTTGTTTCAGCTTCGGTATTGGAGCTACTTGATTCTATGGTTGACCTGTCTTTGTACATCACATTCTCATTGAAAATGATGTCTCTGCTTCTGATGATCTTCCGATTTTCATAGTCCCAAAATCGGTAACCGAACTCATCACCACCGTAACCAACAAAGACACATTTGTTAGACTTGGCATCAAGTTTACTTCTTTCAGCAGAGTTTATGTGTACATAAGAAATAGTATGAAAGGTTTATTTCTTTCTTGCTCCAAGCTTCCTCTGGTATTCCGCCATCCAAGGGAACTGAGGGCCCACGGTTGATCAGGTAAGCTGCAGTGTTGATAGCTTCAGCCCATAGCAATTTGGGCAATCTGGCATGTATCCTCATGCTTCTGGCACGTTCATTCAGAGTTCTGTTCATGCGCTCTGCTACGCCATTCTGCTGCGGTGTTATGGGAACTGTTGTCTCCATCTTGATCACATTGTTTGCGCAGAAATCTCTGAATCTATTGTCTCTGTATTCTCCTCCATTATCAGACCTCAATCGTTTGACTTTCAAACCAGTCTCATTTTCAACCATGGCCTTCCATTTTCTGAAGATATCAAAGACTTCTGATTTCTTCTTCAGAAAATAAACCCATACCTTCCTTATTGAATCATCGATGAAGGTGACATAATATAGTGAGCCTGCAAGAGATGGAACTGGGGATGGTCCCCATACATCAGTATGAACCAATTCTAACCTTTCTGCCTTGGGAGTCTTGCCAATCTTTGTAAAGCTGACTTTCTTTTGTTTGCCAAAGATGCAATCCTCGCATAGTCCGACATCTACATTCTTTAGATCTGGCAGCTTCCCTTTTTATAGAAGTATCTTCATTCCTTTCTCGCTCATATGGCCAAGCCTTTGGTGCCATAGGTTTGATTTTCCATCAGCATCTGCTACTGCAATGATATTCTCTAAATTTGAGGTTACATAGAGACTACCAGTCTTCTTACCACGAGCAATGACGAGTGCTCTTTAGGTAATCTTCCATTCACAGCCTGAAAAAGTTGTACTATATCCTTCTTCATCAAGCTGTCCAACAGAAATCAGATTTCTTTTGAGGCCAGGAATATGTCTCACTCCTTTCAGCGTCCAGGTGGTTTGGTTTGGCAACTTTAGTCGGATGTCTCCTTTTCCGACGATCTTTAAGGTTTCATCATCAGCTAGATGAACCTTGCCAAAATCACCACTGACATAATTTTCCATGATTTCTCGGCATGGGGTAGAGTGGAAAGATGCCCCTGAATCCAAGATCCATGATTCAATCAAATTGTTGACGCTTAGAATCATGGCATCACCTGTCTCCTCTGTCATGTTGGCAGATTCCTGTGCGCCGGTATTTTTCTTCAGTGCTCGTCAATCTCTTTTAAATTGACCCTTCTTGCCACAATTATAACATGTAAAATCTTTCTTTCCCGTTGTGGATTTTCCCCGTCTGGATTTCGATCTGTCATGATTTGAATTTCTTTCTGAAGTTCTCCCTCTGGACTCCGTGTGCAAGGCTGAGGAGGTTGATGCTTCACCCAATTCTCTCCGTCGAATTTCTTCGCTCAGTACCAGATCCCGAACATCGTCGAATTTCAATTTACTATTCCCCGATGAGCTGCTAACTGTTGTAACAGTAGCATTCCAACTGTCTGGTAGAGATGATAAGAGAATTAAAGCTCGAACTTCATCATCGAATTCAATTTCCACGGAACTCAACTGGGTTGTGAATGTGTTGAGTTCATTCAGGTGTTGAGCCACTGATGCCCCTTCCGTCATCCGCAAATTGAATAATCGCCTCATCAAATGAACTTTATTTGAGGCCGATGGCTTCTCATACATACTGGAGAGAGCCGCCATAAGACCCGCCGTGGTCTTTTCCTTTGCTATGTTGAAAGCAACATTTCGGGATAACGTCAGTCGGATAACTCCGAGGGCTTGTCGGTCGAGAAGAGCCCAATTTTCATTCTTCATACCCTCTGGTTGCTTACCTGAGAGGGGTTGATATAGATTTTTCTGGTACAGAAAATCTTCGATCTGCATCTTCCAAAAGCCAAAGTCCACACCATCGAACTTTTCAATTTTCACTTTCCCTTCGTCTGCAGTCATCGCTCCCACTCGAATCTGGCTTCTTCGGATCGTTTCTGACAATTTGTGCGAACCATTGTGTATTATAACACCTCCGTCGATAAATTAGTATCGCCGATAAAATTTCACTATTCACGAAATTTACTATTCACGTGAATAGTAATGAATAGTAACCTCGTAAAAAATTGACAAAATAACCCAAAAGCTTTGATTACCAGTTGTTAGGAAATAAACCGAGTACAAGTAATTTCCCTATAATCAGATTAGTGAGAATACAAAATAAAAGCGGAAAAATAATACCCGAAAAATTGATAACGGAGTTTAGCCAATTGTGCTTACGTCTCCGGACTACTGCAGATCTTTTACTAAAGAGAAAAATTACAGGCGTTTACAAAACACACTTGAGAGAGAACTGGAAGATTTTGGGATGGTTTTGAAGCTAAATGAGCTAGAGTATTTATAGTTGAAACTTAGGGACTAACCTTGTAATTACCCTAAAATACAATGTCTAAATGTGATTTATCCATTATTATTTTCAACAAATGATCTGCCAACCCATTGAAATTTTGCATTATTCGGTGCCTACCCTGCCTACATTTGAATTTGTTAATTTCATTTAGAAATTTAGGCAGTGCCCACCGTCCTTGACTTTACAATAATCCCTCGTGGTTTTTTGTCGACTGTCACAACTGCAGAGTTAAATTGAGATTCGAGCATCTTTTTTGCAGTGGCTAAAACTGTGTCATCAGGTGAAACCGTTACAAGCCTGACAGATGGGCATCACGTTAGGCAAAGCTACTCATAATATCATGTGTGAACAGAACAACATTAGCAGATATGTAAAGAGAGAAAGTATTACCTACGTCGGATTGTCTGTAATAATCGTTGACAGTAACGGCCTGAACATACGCTCCCGAAGTGTCTCAATGAATGTACTCTGGCCTGCATCATATCACCCCATAAGATTGCAAGAAAAAAACTCCATCAATCCACCAACCAGATAAAGATGTTCCCCAATTTTTTTTATACACCCTCAACAGCTGCAACAATGGCTTTTCCTTTCTCGGCTGCCCTTTCCATTCAAGCAATAGCATCAAACAAACACTTAGCTATATCAAGTACAGCAATGGCTTCCCCATTCTTTACAACAGGCAGTTGTCTAAATTTTCCTGTTTGTAATGAAATCAGAACAACATTAGATGATAAGCTATAAGGAAGTACATTACATGGAAGGGTGGTTGTCAATAACAAAAGGCCAACCTTGCACCATCTTCTGGAGTGCCTCCACAGCAAGAGAGTCGGAAAGAACAAATACAGGATTCCTAGTCATCACCTTGGAAACTGGTGTCTCCTCCAGACTAGCTCCCGAGCAATCACTCTTAGTGCTATGTCCTTCAGGCATTAAAAAGATGAAAACTCAATAATAAGATACATCATAGTTAGACTTATAGTTCTAAACGACTGAAGACAGTGAGTACAAAAGCCACCTCCTACGTTAGAGTCAGTGAGCAATAAAGCATCAACCCTACGAGCAGCCATCCTGACATTATATGTTAAAAATAATTATTAAGTTTTTGATAATAAAAACTTACACTCCTGACATTTTAATGCTCGAATTAAGAGTTGCTCAATATGAATACATATTTGTCATAATAAGATAACTAAGTTCAATTTTTTTGATTAATCTGAGGTAAATAATGTAATTTCTATTTAAATATGACTCTAAATCTTTTGACATTGAAAGTTCACATTTCTGATATTTATGGTGCTCGAATTCAGATCCTTAAGAGTAACAAATATTCTTTTATTACAGAAGTCACTTAAGAATAACAAATAAATTAATTAGTCAGATTACGCCAGATCAATGAATGGTACGTAGCTTTATTAAATATTTTATTAAAAACAAATAAATATTAATAATGTAATACTATAAAATACTACATCTAGGAGCCGGGTTTTCTGATCTCTGAATCGACGTTGCGTGGAAAGAGCAAAGGTGAACTTCGTTGTGAAGAAAAGCACAAAACACCAATGTCTCTTTCATGGAGGACTTAAAAGCAAACATCTTTTTATTATTTTTTCTTGAAATTTAAAACAAAAGCAATAGCCTTTTTTTTGGTTGGTTTATTTTTCTCAAACTTAACTTATCCTCAAACCAAAGACATCAATTTTTCGAAAATCAAATTAGGGTAAATTACACATTTAGTACTTAAACTATCATTTTTAGTACCTAAACTTTCAATTTTTTCAAAATCATACATAAAGTTTAATTTTTATTTTATTTCAGTACTCGTTCAAAATTTAATGTTGAGTTTTGAAAAAAATTAAAGTCTTGGTACTAAAACAGACCAAAATTGATAGTTAAGGCACTAAGCGCGTCAAGTTTTTAACGACAGAGTATTAAAATGAAATAAAAACTAAACATTAGACATGATTTTAAAAAAATTAAAATTTTGGGTGTTAAAATAGGTCAAAACTGATAATTTACGTATTAAATATATAGTTTACCACAAAATTATTTAAAATTTGGCCATCCCATAAAAGTTGAAGAGCTAAAATAAAATGTTGATAAGTTCTTATTTACAACAAAAGGTAGATAAAGCTTTGACCGACTTAAAGCCCCTCTTAAAGTAGAGTAAATGGGGAGATTAAAATTAAAGAAACTTACACATTAAGAATCTTTCTATACTCTTATATATATATATATATATATATATATATAAAAGTAAATATTAGATGCATAAAAACATATGACCATAGATTAAAATTAAAAATTTAATTATTATTGTATCAAATAAGAATTTTATATATTCTATTCATATTTATTATATAATACTTAAATGATAAATTAATTTAAACAAAATTAGGGACCATGCTATAAAATTTATAGAAGGGACCAACACGTTAGAAATCTTCCATAAAAACACTGGATGAACTATAGTTTTATTCTACATTATTGACAAAAGTCAAGAAAATTGATTTATGGGTTAATTTGATTCGATAAACTTTAACGATCATAGAGGGACCATTGATGTGTTATCCTTCATCTTTTTGGCCTATAAATGCTTTCAACTTTCAATGGACATTGCTTGACACTGCTTGCAGCAGAAGAAAGGGAAGATTTAGGGGTACTAATTGACTTAAAGAGGGATATGAACAATCTGACGCTGAATGGCTGAAAAATTGCCGCCGGGGTTCCGATTCCAGCCGACCGACGAAGAGCTGGTGTTTCAGTACTTGAAATGCAAGGTCTTCTCCTATCCTTTGCCTGCTTCCATCATGCCTGACCTCAATGCCTGCAACTTTGATCCCTGGGATCTGCCTGGTAAGCTCTTTCTAGCTTTGCATGCATTATCTATGGAGGGTTATTAAATATATTCGTGACGCATCGACACCTACACTCGAGTCAGAAATGTTTATTTTCTATTCTTGTATGCACGTCGATAAGAGGTCACCAATATGAATATATCTGTGTATACTTTAGGAAAAAAATGAAGGATCGAAATAATGTAAAAGATTTTCTTCTGTAGGCGAGATGGAGGACGAGAGGTATTTTTTCAGCACGAAGGAAGCGAAGTATCGAACCGGGAACCGTATAAACCGAGCGACTGTTTCGGGATATTGGAAGGCAACCGGTTCCGATAAGCAAATCATATCAAGGAGAAATGAAGTAGGAGGGATGAGAAAAACCCTAGTTTTCCACATGGGGAAGCCTCCACATGGATCAAGAACTAATTGGATCATGCACGAATATCGCCTACTTACTCTATCAAACGACTCTCTACATGCAAACAACCAGAATTATTTGAATCACGAGATGGAAAAGTGGGTTCTGTGCCACGTATTTTTGAAGAAAACAAGTAAGAGTAGTGAGGACGAGGAGATTATGCAGAGTTTTTGCAATAAAATGAAGTCAAACTTGTTTGATTGCATGAGAGAAAACGATGGCATAATAGCCGAGTCATCATCATCTTCTTCAAGTAGGAGCAATGATATTCATGAGGTTTCTTCAAGTGCATGCAGCAGGCAGTATTGAAGATAGCAGTCACTGGAATAACATTGTACGCTGTTTTCTGTAATATTTAACTTTTTAATATATATTATTGCCTTGTCATCCAGAATTCATATCGATGGATGCACTAAGCTCCCATATTACAAAAAATATGATTAAATTTAGTTTAACGTGTTAAAAAAATTAAAAAAAATTACATATCTATTATTTTAAAAGAAAATAAAATGTTAGATCTCCATTGTTAAATTTTTTAATCTGTCATTGCGGTAGAATATCTGCATATATATTCACTTCAGATTCCTTCAAGGTGATAGGAAGAAAGAAAAGAAAAGAAAAAGATTGATGTTAAAAATTAAATATGTTTTTTTATTGTGTATCACATCATTGATATAATGAGAATTAATAAATGAATATTTTATGATAAATCAATAAAAAATTAATAAAAATTGAATAATCAAAAATAAAAAAAACCAAAAGTTATGCCATCATAAAAAAATAGAATAACAAACAAAGGCAATATTAGAATCAGAATTTTATTATGAGAGAATCGCCTCAGTGACCAAAAAAAAGTTATAATATACGATTTTAACCAACTTTTTTTGGATTTGCCAAAATGACCAACAAAATCGCAACGCGAAATAAAAATCGCAACGCGATCCCCAGAATCGCAAATCAGTTTCCAAAATCGCAACGCGATTCTTGAAAATCGCGATGCGATAGTACAAATTCGCATTGCGATTTTCCATAATCGCAACGCGAATATGAAAATCGCAACGCGAACACATAAATCGCAACGCGTATCCGTAAATCGCAACGTGTATCCGTAAATCGCAACGCGTATGGGTAAATCGCAATGCGTATCCGTATATCGCAACGCGTATCCGTAAATCGCAACGCGTATCCGTAAACTGCAACGTGTATCCGTAAATCGCAACGCGTATCCGTAAATCGCAATGCGTATCCGTAAATCGCAACGCGTATCCGTAAATCGCAACGATAATCCGTAAATCGCAACGCTTATCCGTAAATCGCAACGATAATCCGTAAATCGCAACGAGAATCTGTAAATCGCAACGATAATCCGTAAATCGCAACGAGAATCTGTAAATCACAACACTTAAATTTTGGGTATATAACACTGAAATCATAAACTAAATCCCTAAATCGCAACTCATTCCATCTCCATCTATCACTCTCTCCGGCGACATCCGTTCCTATATCCAACGACATCCTTCCCAATCCGGCAACAGGTTTTAGTTTCGCAGCTCGTCTGTTTAGTAAATTAATTTACAACCATGAAATCATCTAATGTTGATCATGTTTGGATAGATTTGTGTTTTGGAGGGTCATGGGATAATGTTCATGGTGTTTTACAATATATGCCTTTACCCATGAATCTTCAACTAAAATTGTCTTTACAAAAGTTAACTTATGAAACTCTAATGCTACGTGTTTCAAATAAATTGAATTTAGAGCCCCTAAGTGGATTTAGGCTATCTTATCAGAGAAATGGTAAAGTTTATTTGTTAACCGACAATGAAGATGTTGAACGATTCATTGCTTACATTAGTGTTTCACAAGATGATGTTACATTGTATGTTGTTGAACCTAGAAGTAGTATTGTTGGGTCAGTAGCGGGTAGTAATCAACTAAGTTTTTCTCAAAACCCACAACCTTTCTCTAATCCAAATCCCAATCAACTTTCAGCACCAAATTCCGGTTTTCGTATTGACCAGTTAGACGATGATGAGCCAACAGAAAAAATTGTGAGTACTAGTCAGTATTCGAAATTTGGTCTTGGTCAATATCCGGACTTTGATATTGGTCAATACACGGATTTTGATGATGTTTCAGAAGAAGAAACAGACCATGCGTGTAATGATATTGATATTGGTCAATACCCGAATTTTGATGATGAAACAGCCGTTGCCGAAGAATGTAATGTTGATGATAATGAGGAGGAGTTACGACTGTGAATGAACATGTTGAACATCCATTCTGTAATTCATATAATCCTGAAGAAGAAAAAGAAGAAGAAAAAGTCCCGAAGAAAAGAAAATGCCACGGGCGTATAACTGGAATATGCCAGAATTACTTCAGATACCGGAAGAAGAGTTGATAAAGAAAGCAGTTGATTGTTACACAAAAGTTATTCGTATCAAGAAAGATGATTGTTTTGATACAAAGGAAGACTTGAAGATAGCTTTATATACGAAATGTGTGGAAGATGGCTATCAACTAAAAGTTAACAAATCAAGCAAAGATCGTTTCGAAACAAGGTGTATGATTGACAAAACTGTACGTGGCGTATGATTGCAAAGAGAATAAAAGATTGCAAAATGTTTCAAGTTAGGACTTTTATTGATAAACATACATGTTCAAGAACCCAAGTTTTTCCTCACCATAGACAGGCAAACAAAAAGGTGTTGGGTGGTTTTCTGGCTGAGTTAATGTTTTTGAATGGCAGGGTATATCGGGGACATGAAATTATGACTGACATGAATGCTCGGTTCAAGATTAGTATATCATATTCTCAAGCTTGGAGAGCCAAATGTTATGCCTTGGAATTGTTGAGGGGGTCGCCAGAAGCATCGTTTGCCCAACTGCCGGCTTATTGTCACAATTTAAAGCTGAAAAATCCTGGGTCGGTAACTCATATCAAAACAGATAGAGATGGACGCTTTGAGTTGCTGTTTATCGCCATTGGTGCTACGGTTAGTAAATCAATAATTTTGTTGACTCATTTTTGTTAGTTACATGCATTTCACATTTAAATGATTATTTCTTGTGTATATTATTTTGTAGATTCGTTCGTTTATTACTTGCATGCGCCCAGTTATTATAGTTGACGGAGCACATTTGAAAGGTCGATACCTTGGAGTAAACTTATTAGCAGTAGCCATGGATGCTAACAATGGGATATTGCCAATAGCTTACGGGGTTGGCAAATCTGAAACCTCTGATTCATGGACATGGTTTATGGGGCATCTTAGGGATTGCATAGGTCCTATTAGCAATCTGACAATCATATCCGATAGGGCAAACTCAATTGACAACGCTGTTAGAAGGTGTTTCCCAGATGCTTTTCATGGACTTTGTGGTGTTCATTTGTATAGAAATCTAAAATCAAGGTCTGCTGGTATAAAAAGCACAAATGGACATACTGGAAGACTGTAAAAGCTTATCGGGAAGTGGATTTCAATAAGCATATAAATTGTTTAAGACGTGTTTTGCCTCAGTGTGCTCAAACACTAGAAGATGTCGGGTTTGAAAGATGGTCAAGAGTACATCAACTTGGAGCAAGATATGGTTTCATGACGTCTAATAGTGCAGAATCAATCAACGCTCTAAGTCGTCATTCCCGGAAATTACCCATTACTATGTTAATGGAGTTTTTTCGAGCCTCTATTCAACAGTGGTACTACAAGAAAAGAAACCATGCAGGTATTATTTCTTTGAATTCGTAACTTATCATATTTATATATTTTACTAAGTATTGTTTATTTAAATTTACAGGAACATTGGAACATCGTGTTACACCATGGACTGAAAAAAAGATAACGAAACGTGTTGTGAAGTCAACGTCATGGAGAGTTGAACCATGTTCAAACACTTTGTTTCAAGTACTGGATAATAACTTAAATGGGCTAGTCAATCTAAATGCAAAGACGTGTAGTTGTATGAAATGGCAAACATCTGGTTATCCGTGTGGCCATGTTATAAAAGTGCTCTTCATTTAAACCAAGATGATTCAAGCGCATACGCTATGGATTGCTACACTACAGAAGTTTATCGACAGACTTATGCCGAGATTGTCTACCCTATTCCACATCCTTCTGAGTGGGACATACCAGATGACTTACAAACAGTTTTGCCACCAGCCATGGACAGAAGGCTACCTGGCCGACCAAAAAGTCACGATCGTATACCGTCTAAGGGTGAAGAGAAGAAGAGATCGACATGTAGTCGGTGCAAGGAAAGTGGTCATACAAGGTTGACATGTGGATCACCAGTGCCATCAAAATCATCTTTTCCTCTACCAAAATATGGATCCTCATCAAAATCCAAAGCTCATATGGTGTCAAGCAAAAGGCAATCATCTTTAAAATCCCAATCACGATTGGCTTCACCTTTTGAGACTGTTAACTTAGGTGATTTTTAAATGCAAACGTTGTATTATGTGGATTTTATGTGTGAACTTTTAACATTTTCAGTTGAATTAATGACTCAGGCCAACCATTTTGACTTAACCAACTCTTGTTATTCAGTTGTTATCACTATTAGGCATGCATTTGACTATCGCAACACGGAAAATACAATCGCAACGCGAAATGAAAATCCCAACATGAAAATCGCAATGCGGAAATGAAAATCGCAACGAGAAATCGCAATGCGAAATGAAAATCGCAATGCGAAATGAAAATCGCAACGACAGAATCGCAATGCGAAATTAAAATCGCAATGCGAAATGAAAATCGCAATGCGAAATGAAAATCGCAATGCGAAATGAAAATCGCAATGCGAAATGAAAATCGCAACGAAAGAATCGCAATGCGAAATGAAAATCGCAACGAGATAATCGCAATGCGAAATTATAAACGCATTGCGATTTTCATTTCCGCATTGCGATTTTCATTTCGCATTGCAATTCTCTCGTTGCGATTTTCATTTCGCATTGCGATTTTCATTTCGCATTGCGATAGTCTTTTTGCCTTCAACATAATGCAGATTGAATCAACAAAATCAACCATTACATTTCAATCAATTAAACAAGCACAAATAAGAATTATGTTCGCATCAATTACACAAATCAACTTTTACAAATCATCTTTTACAAATCAATTAACAATCAAAAATAAGCAATAATTCTTATTTCCGATCATCTACTATTGAATCAACTTTTACAAATCAATTAAACAATCAAAAAAACAATCAATTAAACTATTGAATCAACTTTTGCAGCTCGACATCATTTTCACGCAGTTCACTTCTGAGATTAACCTGCAGAAACCAAACATTTGTTCAAACAACACT